AAGGCTACTGATGAGTGAAATATCTATCAAGATTCTTGAAGCAATAGTTATAATGAAGCAAGTTTTTCCCGGTGTTATATTACTTGACATAAAAACACAAATTATAATTTACTTAAGAGCACACATTTAAAGTTTTATTTTCTTGTGGGAACAAAAAAGGCAGCTTCTGGTAGTAAAACTAAAAAGCTATTAAAATACTCGGGGAACGCAGTAAAACTATATTATCGGATAAAATAAAGCGTAATTATCGGTATAAATTAGTTTTACAATTCTAAAAACGAGTAAGGTAGTTTTACCTTTTCACCTTAAATTTTCTGTACGTGAAATAATAAGAAGTTACTATAAGTGAGGCATTTTTCAATAAAAATGAAAAGCTAATTCCAAGTTAGTCTAAGTTCTATAGTAAATGAAAAACGCGTAAAAATCTATACTTGGTCCTAACACTAATACCCTGTATAAGGTTGCAAAGGATCTCCAACTATAATTAAGAACCGAAAAAATTATTTCGCATTTCATATTTTACTATATTTCTTGGTAAGTTTGTTAAGTTTGATTGCTTTTCGTGGGACTTCAGAAACTGCGGTGGATCAGCTGTAATATCATAAAACTTTTGAAAGGCTATCACGAAGCAGCGTTGGCCCCATAATTGATGCTTACTGTCCGTGGTGTATATCTTTTCTTCTTCTTTAATAATGGCAAACAAAAGTTATATGCGCGTTGAACACTATTTTAAAGTGACGTTTAGTATAGTAATGCAATTCTGAACTAGTTTTCAGTAAGAGGAATCATTTGTAAAGGCTATTGGTAGCACTAGTTGTCAGAGCAAATTCTGTATCAATATTCCAACAAACTTGGCATTGGTTGGATATTTGGGGCATTTAGTAGTTGGACCGTATAGTAGAAACTCAACGCCAAGTATTTCGTAGTTCGTAGCAGCTCAGTCTACAGGCAGTCGTAGCTACGAGCGTCTACGAGTGGAAGCCGCCTCATTAGGTACAGTCGAATGCACATCAGACTATAAATTTTTGGTGCAAAATATCACTTATTGCAAGGGCATAAGATGGTACGGTGTTTAGTTTGATGTGCCATCGTCTGTATTACGCATGCACATATTCTCTTCTTAATAACAAAGGCGAACTAGACAAATAATGTCGAGTTTGCATGTAGCTTAAACAAATAATACGAGTTATTATGTTACAAAATATGTGCTTAGGTGCCTAAGGCTTGAACAAATTAATATAGATTCTAGAGAACTAGGTATAAACCCTAATTATATAAGAAAATTATTTTTCTAGTTTATCTTATCTACACTAATATTATAGAGAGAAAATCTTTGTTTGATTGTAATGAATAGGCTCAAAAACTACTGGACCGTTTTTAAAAATTTTTTCATCATTCGACAGCTACATTATCCACGAGTAACATAGGCTACATTTTATTTTGGAAAAAAGATAGGGTTCCGTAAAGTATGCCGCGGGCGGAAAGCTAGTGTTTTATAAAAATAAGTGCTTTTTCTCTTACCGATCGATTACCGGCGATTTTACTTTTAGCTACTCATAAGACTAAGATAAAAAAAGTGTAACTTTTGTACATTTTTCCTATTTTTAAAAACGATGAACCTCTTGTCGTTATAGCCGATATTTTAGTCGATTATGTATGCACCGGAAGCGGCAGTATTCGACCGATTTCCGACAAATTCAGCTCTTGGTACGAGAAGCATTCGCCGGAAATCGTTGAAGAGGTTATCTGAGGCTTATTCCTTTTATTTTGAGCGATCAGGATTTAAAAAGAACGAAAATACAGCTAGATTTCAAACTAATCAGTACTCTCCAGCTAAGAATGTCTTCATGTTTTTGTAAAACAATTTTAAAACGCAGAATTTACGCAGGCTGTAGCTACAAGTTTAGGTCGTAAACAATATTTTCCGTCCTTTCACGTAAACTTGTAAAGCCTATGTTTTTATGCCTAGGTTTTCAAACTCTAAGTTACTAAGAACTAAAGGTTTTTATTGTTACCTACATGAATTTAGTTTATGAAACAATATTTAAAAAAACCAGCAATTGATTGCGCCATCCATAGCTTGTATTGTAATCTTGTAACCAACCAATAAACATGTTTACAATAAAACCATTTTCAATTAATTTCCATTAAACGGTTTAGTTCGTAAAACGCTGCGTATGCGTGTGTCCTAAACAAACATTTTAAACTTGACTTAACGTCGCGTTTATTTTGATGACGTCATGTTTCGGAAATTGATTTCTGTACCTCTATTATCCTATATTATAGCCGCCCTAGGGGGCGCTGTTTAATTTTTCATACAAAATTTTTCGATGGCACTTTGAATACGCAAACGAAACGAACTCGAAAGTTTTTCGTAATAGAGGTACTGTACCTCTAGTAGGAAAAACTTTCGAGTTCGTTTCGTTGCGTATTCAAAGTGTCATCGAAAAATTTTGTATGAAAAATTAAACAGCGCCCCCTAGGGCGGCTATAATATAGGGGGCGCTGTTTAATTTTTCATACAAAATTTTTCGATGACACTTTGAATACGCAACGAAACGAACTCGAAAGTTTTTCCTACTAGAGGTACTGATTTTATTTTATTGAACCTTAGAGAAAAACAGGCATGGAACTATAAGATATCTTAATATCTTCTGAAATTCTGAAAAAAAGGAAAAAGTAGGTACTTCGGAACTGTTTTGAATTGGAATTTAAAAAAAAGGCTACTTTTGCTAAGAGTAAAGAATAATAATATCCATCTCATATTACTGACTGCATAAACTGTATCAAGACACGATGTAATGTAATAAATACTAAATATAATCAAGAAAAGCTGTTTACAGTAGCCACTAAGTACCCATCCATATTAACACAGACGGGATCGATCGGTGGAATCTCTGACGTCTGATTTTACAGACAAGATGGTGCTTCACGAGCTTTCAGTCACGTAGACGACGCGATTACGATGTGCTACGAAAATGAACATCGTAGCTCACCATTAGGTATCATTTAAACGTAGCACTTTTTATTTGCACTTTACTCTATAAATATTTACTGCTACAAGACACCCACTTTTCGTAGCGCTACGTAGAAGACATTTTGGCTGCAGTACCTCTAGTAGGAAAAACTTTCGAGTTCGTTTCGTTGCGTATTCAAAGTTTTTCGTTCAAAAACTTTCGAGTTCGTTTCGTTGCGTATTCAAAGTGTCATCGAAAAATTTTGTATGAAAAATTAAACAGCGCCCCCTAGGGCGGCTATAATATAGGGGGCGCTGTTTAATTTTTCATACAAAATTTTTCGATGACACTTTGAATACGCAACGAAACGAACTCGAAAGTTTTTCCTACTAGAGGTACTGACCTATTCCGACCCACTTCGAGCGCTCAACAGGCTTGTCACGTAAATGAATAATGCAGCTTGGATTCCGACGGAAAACGTCAGTGGGGATAGTGACAATAGTTCCCGATTAGTTACATGGCCAGTGAATACTGACACGGGAATAAACTACGCAGGCAACTGCAGGAATTTGGTTCCCCAGTTCCAAATATAGATCTTGTTTTTATTAAATTTGTGCCCAATAACAAACTGGTTCCAGGAACATTACAAAAGCTTTTCTTCTGAATTTAGTTACCGACACAAAGTTGTCAGGTATTTTTTTTTGGGAAGGTATTTATGGGATCAACTTAAACGTGGATGTGCCACTATTTCATCTTGTTTGTTACCTACTTAAGTTTATGTATGATAAGAAATCGCTTTCTTGAGGATTAATAAAATTAGTTGACACTCTTTCTCTGACTTGTGGCATGCACATGAAGAACACTCATGACCATTCCAAACTTGTCAACTAAGAAGAAAGAAGCGTACTTGAAGATAAGTCCAACCATGGCTTCAACCACACGCGGCTTAGGAAACATAGAGCGTTAGGCTCTATGTTTCCTAAGCCTATGGAGACTGTCAGACCAGTCAACGAACCAAAAGATAAAATAAAAGAAAGATACTTACGTGCAGATCAGTCCACCTGTGGTCATGGCGTAGATCAATCGTGTACTGTAAGACCGGCAGAGGTTAGATCAGCTCTAGAACGCCATGGTCCTGGCCAAGATTATGTACTCTTTGATACCTCTCTCTCACTTTAGGTACTCCTTGATCAGTCTATCTGAGGCTATGGCATCCGAACATGAGAACGGTGAGACCAGAATGGAAAAGGTGGAAAACGGGGTCACAATGAAGACTGGAGAACACATCTTAGTAGATGGCCATTTACTTGAAGACAGTAAGAGACAAGAAAAACAGATCTATACACACTTACTTGAAAATCAGTCCGTCAGAGGCCATGGCGTACACCACACGGGGCATGGGGAACATATGTATCCGAACATGGGAACGGTGAGATCAGAATGGAAAAGATGAAAAACGGGTTCACAATGAAGACTGGAGAAGACACATCTTAGTAGATGGCCATTTACTTGAAGACAGAAATAGACAAGAAAAACAGAAACACAGTTACTTGAAGACCAGTCCATCGGAGGCTATGGCATATGCCACAAGGGGCATGAGCAAGCTAGAGCAACAAGACAACACAATACCAAGATGCATAAATAAGAAGAAAGACTTACTTGAAGATCAGTCCATCGGAGGCCATGGCATTCACCACACGGGGCATAGGGAACATAGATCCGAACTTGGAGACAGTAAGACCAGCATAGAAAAGCTGAGACCAACTCTAGGACCTGTGATCTAGACCGGGTTCTTATCGAAGAGAAACACAGCTCAAGGAACAAAATACAAATACACTTACTTGAAGATCGGTCCATCGGAGGCCATGGCATTCACCACACGGGGCATAGGGAACATGGATCCGAACTTGGAGACAGTAAGACCAGCATTAGAAAAGATGAGACACCAGCATAGAAAAGCTGAGACCAACTCTAAGACCTGTGCTCTAGACCAGGTTCATAACGAAGAGAAACACAGCCCAAAGAAACAAAATACAAATATACTTACTTGAAGATCAGTCCGTCAGAGGCCATGGCGTACACCACACGGGGCATGGGGAACATGGATCCGAACATGGACACGGTGAGGCCGGCCAGGGCGCCGAGCGCGACTATGTACTTGCACGTGGGTGCGTGCACGTATCCAAACATCTGCACCAGGCCAGAGTCGGGGTCGATCTCGTCGAAGGGAACTGTTGGAAAAAAAGAAATATATTATTATGTAAATTTGAACACCACTCAAGGTATCTATGCCCCCGTCCATTATTAGTGTTATCCCCGGGACAAACTAGACTTCCGCTGATTGGGTTTTTATTGGCGGTCAAGCTGTAGATACACAGGAGTTGCAGCTGTTTGAATAGTGTCTTTTTTACTTCTACTTATCATTATTTACAGGACGTCTACCGCTAAACAATAAATAATTTATTAGATTGACCGGTTGGTAGCGGTCTGCATCTTGTATAATGTGTTCTGTGGTCTGCATCTAGCACCTTCCTGCATCCTTTGTAAGGTTATTTATGAGGTGACCTCCATTCCAGAACTTTTACTTCTACGAATATGGTTTCATTCCATTTTATAAGGTGTTTTATCATATTAGATTATTAGGTTTCTAGACTAGATAGGTATACTTGAGTTGAGATGAACTGTAAGTTAATGGTAACTAAGTTTGAAACCTTAATAATGTGCTTAAAATTTATTTACACTGACTAACATAATTTATTTAGTAAGAATTTACTTCTAAAAGTAGCAAAGGAGTAAATATCACGTTTTCATGAACATAAACCAGTTTGTATTGTTTCCAGTTTACTAAAGTCCCAACATTAAAAGATCCTTGAATTGTTGATGAGGCAAATACTGGGAGCATTGTAGGCGTGGTCTTGTTTGAGGTTGCATTATTTGATTTTGCCATTTTAATACCATTTACATTTCTATTCTATTCTAAGAACTTTCAACGTTGATATTTTAGGACAGACGTAAACAATATTTACTTTACATTAGGGTGAAAGGAAGACAGATCTAATTTACTATTTAATGTGAGATTGGAAATGTCAGGTCAGCAGAGTCCGAATAATTTTCTCTTGCCTTTGTTATTTTCTCTGAATTGGCATTGATTTCCTTTGTTATAAATGAAACTAATATTCAATGACATGCTAAGCTAAGTTATCTATTCAAATCTCTGCAATGGGTCTGTATAAGTACCTACTCAAGTTACGGAAATTAGAAATTAGCACTAAGGCTGAGTTGCACCATCTTACTTAACTTTGATAAACATTAAAAATCTGTCAAACTCCATACAAAAAGCACCGGTTATTGTTAACGTTACGGTTTATAGGTGAAAAATAAAAATACTCGGGCGTAAAAAAGTTCGGTTCTTACTGAGAAAAAATATTATGATGTAAGGTGGGTATTTTAAGTTTAAAAATAAAAAGGTTCCGCGTTAAAAGTATTAAAAAGCGCTCGCCGGAATGTATGGTATGTTCGATAAAATGCTCACGAATTGCGAGCATTCCCGTTCATTCACGTTCGCGCCGCTTTTTCCCGCTTATCTCTTCCCTCGATTCTGTCACGGGAAGGTTAACACATTGTATTGTGAGAAAACATCGATGGAGATATTTCAAACATCTTGAAATTCTATTGCATTCACTCACGATTTTTCCAATGTTTACACACCTGTGCACAGTGGAAATGACAGGCGGCGGGTATTTACACACTGAAAAGATGCTGCAAACCAGTAGAAATGAGTTTAAAAAAATAAACAGTATTCATCACGATCTCATCTCACTACAATGTAGAAAAAGAATTACGAGAATTTATAAAATACATAAAACCAATCTTGTTGGAAAGATTAGGTAACACTGAATTCAGAATATTGAAGTGTGTGAATGAAATTTTTGTTCCTGACATTTGAGTAAAACAATGTAGTTGCTTGACAACAATAAGATTACATCACCATGACATGTAAAGTTGTAAAGCCATTAGATATTCATTGATATCACAACGCCACGCGCCATCGGTAATGTATTGTGCTTTGTTTCACGATGCGCAACAAATTGGACGTAATATGTAAATGGAAATAATTCATCATTATCGACACTTAAGGCTTGCGGCAGACTGCGCACCTCTCTCCGTATTCTCAGAAAAATAGTGCCATTTAATTAATTAAAAGCTTTTCAGGTGAAATACTATATTCCTTCGTTAATGGACTTAATGGCTTAATATGCTGATTGAGTGGGTTTCTTTCTCAGAACTTGCACGAATGGATTGCAAAAGAAATTATGGTATGAAATGGAAATGAGCAGGTAAAATTAAACGTAAATAGGTTTTATGAGGAGAATTTTAATATCTATAATAAAGTTAAGACTAAAATCCTGTTTAAGAGACTAATTTTAGTAAATTTTTAGTAACAAAGTAGTACACCTAAGCGTGGGCAGGCCTCCTACTAAGTGGACCGACGATCTGGTAAAAGTCGCGGGAAGAGCCTGGGCACGCGGGCAGCGCAGGACCGTTCATTGTGGAAAACCTTGAGGGAGACCTTTGTCCAGCAGTGGACTTATTTGATTGAAACGAACGAACCAAATTTACGAAGTTCAGACATAGCAAGACCCCTTGAGGGTGTATAAAAATAAAACAAACAACGTCTTTGTTAATTGGCTTGTTTGGCTCATCAAAATCATTAATTAGTATTAGTCAAAACAAACTCTACTTTTACTCAGTGAGATTTTAATTATCTCAGGATTATTATTTTGCGTTAATTCTTTAAGCCATTAGTAACCATGCCAACATTATTTGAAAATCAAACTTATATAATGGACATTAAATTGGTAGTATCTAAAATTGGTCATATCTCAAAACTTTGGAACTTCTCTATGGCCATATTAGGCTTGTTCAATGCATCTTAGAGACACTTTAGAGCTCTTTCAAATTATACGTTTTGAGGCGGACGTTTGTCGTCCGTTTGCAGGATCGCACACTGAAAATTGTATTACAAAGTAATACTGACTGACTTCAGTACATCTTTCCGTGCTTTTAAGCGATTTTGTGAAAAATATTATTGGCAGGTAGTTGCTAATTGCTCATAAGATAGGCCCCCTTAATTTAATTTATTGTCCGTGGTGCATAATCTTTTCTTGAAGGTTTTAAACCTTTGTTTGTCACCTGTCATCCGCTTTGCAATGGAGGGAAGTCGAACCTTAATTTCGAACTCCTCCTATGTTCTTCTGATTAATTTCGTTGCGGGTCCAATGACAGTTTAACCTTTAGCTACTGAGGTGGATTTAATTTCACGTAAACACTGACGTGGGGGCCTGAGAGGCCCGTACATATGTGTGCTTATATTTAAAAAAATATAATCTTTTTAGGGTTTTATGTTTAATAATTATTAATAGTGGTTATATTTACATACAATAAAACTATTTTAATGTAAATTATTTGTTAATAAGTAGGTATTATTTCAATATTTAGAAAACATGTAGCATTTTTGGCAAAAATCTTATGAAATCATGATTCACAAAGTTATCATGAAAAATATTCATATATTCAACAAATCAACTTAGAATCTTAATTTTCAATAGTCTTTTTAGCAAATGATAAGTCAGTAATCCTAATATGAAATAGGGGGAAAAAAATTACACACATCAAATAGTGCGAATTGAACACAGTCTGGATAAACTTGCTTTGCTCAGTGAAGGAAGCCATATATGTTTTTAAAATGTAGATTTCATTTGAATCTTCAAAATACATGTACTATGGCACTTGGTTTCATCGTTTAAATCTTGACAGACAGGTACAGGCTTGTCATTTCCTAGCATACGTGCCAAAAACTACTGTTCTTCTATTTTTCGTTAAATGCTGGTTATTTTTACTTCCGAGATACCGCTTTATCTCGGACGATGTACTGTGGGCTCCATATTATAGATTTTTTCAAATTATTTCAAGAAAAGACGACAACTAAATAAAAACTTTAGACAAAAAGAGTTACGCCAATACTGAGGTGGGGGCCTGAGAGGCCCACAAGAAACTTTAAAATTAATTTACCTACTGAAATTGCGCTTGCAATCACGTGCACCGTTGTTGACAGCCTCGGCGCAATGAAACTCGAAGGTACTAAAAGATTCGCGTGTGTCGTGCACTTGGGAGAGGAGAAATTTAACAATTTGACTTTTGCAAGGCCTGAGAGGCCCCCACGTCAGTAGTTAAAGGTTAACTTTCCCCCGGGACAAACTTGACCTTCATTGGTTGGGTTTTTGTGGCGGTCAAGCTGTAGATCCTGGCTACACAGGAGTTGCAGTGGTGGGAACGAGAGGTGGGAATAGTCCCGTGACTGACTTCATGCTCAAAACGCCAAATTTGAAAGAGCCCTTAGGCCTATCCACCTCCAGTGTCAGTGTGACTTGCTAATTTTGGGACACCCAGTAGGTATTTAGAAAATATTATTATGAGCAAGTAATACTATTTATATAAGAAGCATTTGCCGCTTATCCATAGTTATTGCGGATAGTTAAAGTTAAGCTTAAGCTGCAGCTTAACAGCTTGGAGTTTTATGACGATTGTGCTGTCAGGAACCGTTAGGATGCGTTTTATGATATTGGCTTCGCTCGATTCTTTTGCGCTGTTTGAAGTTCGATTACTCGTATCTGCTCGACGTTGTGTGAGGATGGTGCAGTAAAGAACACATTGTACGACATCAGTTTTAATCGTCCGTTTAAATGAAGCGAACTTAATTAGATAAAACTTGTCAACAGCTAACGCCCTATACAGCACTTACGTTCTGGTGATATGATAGCTTATATAATATCGTGACATAGGTTCTTTACTAACTTCTTAGCAAAACTTTTCTGTTTAATTTTTTATAAATTCCAAATTGTGATTTTGGTGCAACCATTGTTTGGGTAGGAGTTGAAGTCGACTTAATGGCATCCGACGAACGTTTTCGTTCAAACTCAGCTGCCTCTGGATTACTAAGGTGAAAATATTTGTCGAACTTAACACAAGAATGACCTCTTTTTTTTGTTAAAGGTATTAACCAGATAAATGCCATTTGTATTTTTTTCTAGCACTTTCGTCGTAGTGATAAAGTTTCATCATCGTGCCCATTCATACGCCTCGGCACTTAGTGAGCGGAGCGCCTTAGCCAAAATGATTCGCGTTTTTTGTTGTGCCCTGTGCCTAAGCGTAGCTCTTGACGTGTGAGACC